ATAGGTGCTATTTTCTGAGGCTTTCAGAAGAGACAGATGTTTTGGGTTTTTTGTGCAGGAAACTGGGCGAGCAATATTTGTCAGTTGGGGGGGGGCACCTAAAGCTCCTTGGGAGCCCATCTTCACACAGATGAAACCTGCTATAGAGAGAGTGGATTAATCGAAAACACACCAAAATAGGGACACAGTTTGTGGGCTTATCCTGGGTCTCTATTCAAACGCAGAGCAGGGTTTTCTCTATAGATGCTATTTTAAGATCTTGCAAAGGAAAAAGATGCTGTATCAAGAGAACATGTAGAATGAGGCAAAAAGAGTAATTTCCCCACTCTGACTAAAGAAAATGGGCATGGCTGAGATGGAGGTGAAAGAAAGGATAAGCTGGCAGCCTTTCTTCATACCTGTCTGAGGGCCAAACTATGTCAGATTTTATTCATAGTGGCTGAAATCCCATTGTTTCTTCCCCACAGATTCCCTCTCGGCAACATCTGCCTCTGGCACTCCCACCTAAAGTAGCCTCCTTTCTGTGTGTGGTCCAGAGCTGGCTTCAGGTGCTTCAGTCCAAGGCTGCTGCCAGGGAGGGCAAACGTGTTGGGAGCAGCACCTCCTTCAGTCTGTCCCTTTCTCTTCTCCCCCATCTCTTTCAGAAAAATTCTCAGGAGTGTAGGAGGATGTTGCGCGCGCATGCACACACACACACACACGCGCGCGCGCGCACACACACACACACACACACACACACACACACACACACACACACACACACACACACACACACAAACCAGAAACCTCTGACTCTCGTGTGTGCAGAACTACTTGCATGTTTTTGGATTAACAAAACAAAGAAGGCAGAGTCATATATATATTGCATTGAAGGTAAAGTCTGCTGAGATCATAACCGGCTTTCTTCATACTAAGTTTAGGAGTGAAGAGAACTGTCTTTAAGAGAAATGTCAACTGAAACAAATTGGGCTCACATCATGTTCACAGGCACCGGATCAGTTAGTCTCTGAAATCCTACGGGCATAACTTTACGGCACACAGCTAGGGCGATGTCATCAGTCTGCAACAATAATATTCAGTTTTATTTAATTGAAAGCTTCCCATCTCCCTCTTCAGGTTCCGAGGCTTCCTTTTGTCCTGGAGAAATGTTTAGGAGCCTCAGAATGGGAGGTCCCACTGCCACTGATTCAGTGGCAAATTTGGACTATTAGAGTCTTTTCTCCGCTCCATGGGCTCCCAAATGCTTCCCAAGGGAAAAAGGGATCCTTACGGAACCTCGGAACCTGAAGAGGGGCATAGGAAGCTTTCAGTTAAATTAAATGTTACTATTGCAGGCTGATGATGCCATCACATTTGCTTTTTGCAAAGTTGCACTGATAGGATTTCAGCCATGGTTTGAGCTTATGTAGTTTTTTTCTGTTAAACAAATACATACTACACAATGGACATTTGGAATGAGAATGTGGCAGGGCTAATGGCCCCGTTTTATCTTAGTTTCCTCTTGCACCAGCTATTTGGTTCAAGCCAGAGCGAGGAACATTATTTTTCAAAAGAAACCCCTGATTTCTTTTTGGCAGCTAGCCTATTGTTGCTTTTGTGTTTGTGTTTGTCTCTGTGTGTGTGCGCGTGCGCATGTGCCTGTGTGTGTGTGCATTGCACAGGATTAAAACCAGAGATGAGAAAGTTGAAAGCCGCTAATAGTTTAGACAAATCTTAGCAAGCTCAAAAATCTATTCCCATCAAATCAGAGGGGGCCATTTTTAACAATTTAATTGATGCTTAAGTTTACATTGAAAATTGCTATAAAGGCTTACAGAAAAAACCCTCAGAAATATCCCATGATTTAACTGCCCACACCTATTCACTCCTTTTCTATTTTGAGCTTAGAAGAAAAGGAACCAGCAACATTAATGTTTGAAAAACCAATTTTCCATGCATGGCCATCAAACCTTTCTCTTGCTTTCCCTCCTTTAGATACTCTTCTATTTTTAACCTTCCTTTTTATAATGTATGGATTTCCAAGTGGTTGTCAGCCATACTTCTAGCCAGTTAAAATCCTGTTTCTAGGGCCAGATGAAGAGCTTCTGTATGTTGCCTGTTGTTAACACAAGATCACCATCTTGATGCAAAAAAGGCCACACACACTTTCTGAGTTATAAACCTCTTGGTTTAAAGTCTGATAACCTTGCACTTTAAATAATGGTAGCTATCAGCTGTAGCCATTCATTTAAATGTCTGCCATCTGCACAAGTGCCCAGGGTACCACCTTCAACATGGCTTATTTCCACAAGATGTTTTCATGGGACTGAAGTTCCGTAACTGTGTAAATTAATGCAGATCTACCCATAAATAAATCACATTGTGTTATTCCTGTGTGTAGGTTTATTTATTTATCAGTCCCATACATAGGCTGTCTTCTTTCCAAGTTTTTTATTTATTTTTCCATGCATATATTTAATTTTCAGTAAAAATGCAGTATGTTTGCAGAAATATTGTGTAGTGAGAGGGAGGGAGGGAGGCTATGTTTAGGAGACAATGTTTTAGGTATCTGGCTGAGTAGCCATAGGTTGTGAGTTTGGTTCCCCATTGTGCCTCCTGCAGGTAGAGCCAGCCTGTGTGGCTTTGTGCAAGCTGCATACAGTGGGGTCTCGACTTACAAACTTAATCCGTATTGGAAGGCAGTTTGTAAGTCGAAAAGTTTGTAAGTCGAATCAGCATTTCCCATAGGAATGCACTGAAAACCAATTAATCTGTTCCAGCTGTTTTTGGTTCTTAGGTTGAGGGGCATTTCCCATAGGAACTAAGGCAAAGCTAGTTAATCCGTTCCTACCACTAGGGGCAGAATTTCTTTCCTTTTAACCTAAGATGACTTAGCTTAAAAAAAGAGAAAGAAATGAGGGAGAGAAGGAGGGAACAGACACCTTTTCAACAGAACACCCTGAAAAGCACATTATCAGTCAAGACAAGTACCTTCTGGAAAAAACCAAGCATCTTTCAGACAACAGATCACCTTGAAAAGCACCTTTTAAATCAAGACAAGCCAATAATACAAGCACCTTTTGGGGAAAGGGGGGGCAGCAAAGGAGGGAGGGAACACCTTTTAAAAATCCAAAAATTAAAAATTAAAAAAGTGCCAAAAAATAAAAATACAGTCCGTACCGCACTGTACCAGGCAATACCAGCAGTACCAGGCAGTACCAGGCAGTCTGAAGACTGTCTCCAAATCCACTCTCAAAACACTGGGAAGAGCGAGGAAGCAGATAAGCACCCTCTTCACTGGCCAACGGTTAACTGAAAGTGCAAACTTCATGCTTTCCCCACCTCAAACACGTTTTTTTTGGTTTGTAACTCGAATCTAAGTGTGCAAGTCGAGTCAATATTTTTCTTGGTTTGTAAGTCGAAATGTTTGTAACTCGAGCCGTTTGTAAGTCGAGGGTTGACTGCAGTCCTAGGATGCCTTTGGAAGAAGGGAATGGTAAACCACTTCTGAGTACTCTCTACCTAAAGGGTAGTGAGAATTGACTTGATGGTACATGATGAAAGGGCCGCCATAAGTGAGAATTGACTTGATGGTACATGATGATTATGCCATTTACAGCCATATACCTGGAATTAAGTCCCACTGGGACTTACCTCTGAGTATATTAGATTAGGTCTGCCCCAACATTTTTTTAAATCATATTATGTTTCATGACAAATCCCTCCCACCCTGGTTAAGTACCCATATATAAACTCAGTGGATCTTTTTTTCTGGGTTGACGTATAACTGATTGTGGCCACAAGAAAAAGCAAGAAGCTTTCCCACTTAAAAAACAAAACAAAACAAAACAAAAAAACAAAAAACAAACAAAACAAGCCACTTTTTAAAGAAAAATATTTAGAATTAGGTGTTACAGGATCAACCCTCCAGGTCCAGGAATAAGCACAGCAGCCAGGAGACAACTGGAGACTGCTCACCCATTTTAGACAAATCAGAGCAAAATCAATGGGCGTGTCACTTCTGTAACATTATATTGTCACAGAGTACAGCCGAGTGCTGCAAGAAAGAAATCTGAAACAGACAAATAGGTTCTGTTAAAGTGGCTATATAATTCTGCATCTCTAGAGAAAAGAATTTGATGGAAAATGGAACTAGGCGTTTGCATTTATTTAATCCCCCCACTCCACTGAACATATATATTGCTAAGATCACTGCTCTCTGTACTCCTGGATGCACTATGTCCCTCTCTGCAGTCGACTTGTGAGTACCTTTCCTACTGGCAGACTGCATGTTCTAAATTCAACCAAAGCATTATGTGAATGGGGATGGAGCAGCGAAGAGGTCAAGAGAATAAGAACTCTATGTATTTGCGAATTGCCACTAGTTAATGAGTCACTACTTGAATCCCTCCCTGCACACCAACTCACATGACTGGTGCATAATGAGGGATACAAGGAGTGATTTGTTAACTAGTAGCAACAACTCACTTTGCACCATTGCATTAGTACCAACATAACTAATCAATAGGATTCTGGTCATAATCTTTCTTTACAATGTGGCCATATACCATTTAGCCAAAGTTAAGAGTCACTGTAAAAAGTTCCACTGATTTCAAAGGGAACCATTAAACACAAGCTTTATTCTCTCAATAAAGTCAACTTACAAATACTTAAAATTGCCCCTGTATATTTATGATTTATTTTTAATGCCGCAACGCACTCAGTGATAAAAGGTTAAACAAAGAAGCAAATTAATTTTAAAAATACTGAAAATATTTAGTAAATATTTTTAAATTTATTGACCTATCTCATATAACAGACCTTTAAAAAGACAGGAACAGTAAAAGAGTAAGAAAAAGGTGTGTTCCCTCCCACTAAAAAGCTATACATATATACACAAAAGAAATAAATTATGGAGTTTTTTTGCTTTCATTTTCTATGTTTATTCCAAACTTTAACTCTAATAATACAAATGACTAAGGACCAGCTTAACAAATTCGAAAACTCTTTGTATATATAATATATATATATATATTTATAGAATTCTTTTTACATGCTTTGGAGTATCAGTAAAAAAAAAGTTCCAAAAACTCTTTTTCCAGAAACTTTTCTATTCACAATATGAACAAGGAGTGATATATCCTATGTTGTTATTTTTTTTAAAAAAAGGATTCCCCAACAGCACCATTGTATAATGTCCTGAAGCACAGGGTAGCTTACAAAAAAAGACTTTTTAGCTGTTGCAAAATTCCACTAGGTAACCGGTTGCTGATTCGTTCCTACAGGTAGGTGATATGAGGTAGGCTGATCCCTCCTAGATAAAACCTACAGTTTCTTTTTCTGTTTCCCCCACGCCTTTTTGTGTATGTGACAAAACCAATATTCATGGATCGTGCGATCATGCTTATAGATCATTCTGTTGCCCTGGCCTATAGAAGCCAATCAACATGCACAAGCAATCTTTCATTTAAAATCATGGGAGGGGGTGGGACACATGTATCACGCCTCTGAATTGCCTAATGATTGACCACATTGTCAATACTCAAGTCCACTCATTCTGAAGCGTAGACTAAAACTGGGTGCTCCTTTTCCCCCTTTTCCCTGCCCTCTGAGCAACAGATAACCAGCACAGCTCTAAACATCACAACTGGGAGAGGACCTTTAAGAAGTGAGCAGAGGGCATGCTCTTTGCCTTCTTTGACTGGGACAAGCACTGGACAGTGCACTTGTTTTTCAGATCACGTAGTTTGCTATTTTAATGCCCCTTAATTTTAAGGCACCTGTTTGGTGTTACTGTTACATGCATTTGCATCCAAGTTAAAAGAGGGAATAATACTGGCCAACAGAATCAAATTGTTTAATGCAATGGATGTCTTACCACATCAGGAATTCACTTTGCTGGACATACTTTCTGTATCTTATGGGAGACTGAACATAAGGATGCTCAGATGGAGGAATCTCAACACTTTCCAAATGAAAAACACCGTACACTTATTCCATCTTTTCCCCCTGAAGAGATTTTTTATTTTGGGGAATAAAAAAAAAGAGGTGAAAGAAGCAGTGGGAAATGGTGGAAGGGTTGAAAATGGAAGACAGTGTTGATTCAATCTCTTTTAACCCTCCGTGAAGGAGGCACGGCAATTGCATCACAAAAGCCTTGGCTGAAAGGATTCAAGTGTATCCCGGTGCACTCTGCATTAAAACCTGAATGCATTGTTGCTTAAATAAAAAGCTAGCATGAAAAACTATAAAATTGTATGTTCGTATCGACTTTGAATCAGTCTGAATCTGCCCACTAGTGCTTTCCAGAAAGAAAAAAACAACAACCCCCCAAAACCCCTCTCTGTAGGCTCAGCTACTGCAATGAGCAATGCCTACTTCCTTCTTTTTTCCTCTCTTAAAATGCTGTTAAAGAGTAAAAGACATGTTTCGGACAGCACACCTTAAAACCATCTTTAACCTCATTCGATATACTGTTTAAAAAATACAAATATCCTTCAAATCGTACTGCAACACCGAGACAACCTTCTGCTCTGTTCTCCTGGCCACACTGTCTTTAACAGGCCACCAACTAATTTCCCAAGCTCTTTTCCAGCAGAACTGACAGTAGAAGGGATTCTGATATTGCCACTTTCTTCCTCTCTGAATTGTGCTCCTAAAATTGTTCCCAAAAGAATGTCCTTTTCACATTTTTAGATGCTTGCAATGTCAGCAACTCATCATCACTTTTTTTTTAATTAAAAAAAGTGCTTTCCAAAATATTTTAATCCATGTTGTGTCTGAAGATTTCAAACCAGATGACCTGTGACATTCCTTCTTCATCTGGGTTATTTTGGATTCTGAATGTTGTGCTAGCATGGAAAAGACTCTGCAGCCTTCTCTCACTCAACAACATGTTGACCCTTCTATAATGATCCTCATTCTCGAATTGTACCAGAAAGCTGGTTTTTATGGGAGCAACGTAAGGTGCAAGGCACATAGGGTAACTCTGAAGCAGAAGGCAGCTTCACACTAAAGTCCCAGGCTTTGAATCCTCATGCCAAAACAGTCTCTGTTCGCTGTCTTGCAAATCACCTTCCAGCTGGTTCCTGTCACCACTGCCCAAGTGGCTTGTCTCAGTGTATGCCCTGTAAAAAAACAAGGATGCCCATCAGTGACATGAAAGGTGAACAGAGGGCTTCAGGTACTACTCTAGTACAGTGTCGCTTGGTGCGACTCCTTTAAAATCAGTAACTACTTTCTTCTATTGGTTTTCTATTTACTTTTTAAATACTGAAATCAATAGAATTTGCACCAGGGGGATAAGTCTGAATTGTGAACAAATATAGGCCCAGTTAAGACCTCTGCAGAAAAAACAGCCACAGTGAATGTGGTTTTAGCTGACAGATCAACCTTCTGTGCACCTCTCTATGAGATTTTAATTCTGGATCTTGATTTCCTAGCAACTAATAAGTTAAAATGTTTGTAATATAAGCATATATTAAGAACATATGCATTAGAGAAATTGGTTTGATGTCTATTTCATCCTGTCACAAAGAGTCAGTATAGCATATAACATACTTATAAAAACAAGAACTGTAAGTTACCATTTTATATCATATGGTCCTATATAGATTTAAAGAATGGGGTCAGAAAGAAGGGGTAGTACATAGATGCGATATCAGTCCAATGGGGATGGAAAAGTCCTATGCATGGACTTCTCCAATGTCACTGGTGACAGATGAGCCATAGGAGCTCCATCAGCTACAGGTATCACTGGCTCCTCTTTCCAGACTGTGTCAGACATTTTACTGCAATGTCCAGTTCATGTATGGTTACTTCTAAGAAACATGGTGAGGAAGCAAGCCATTGTTCATAAAGCAGGTTGGTTCCATAAACCATTGTTAAGATTAAGAACAGCCTATGATTTGGATGTTAATACTGCAGTTGACTGAAAATAAAAGGAAAGGCTTATGATCACTTCCTAATGGCTGTGTCAGAGAAGAGGGATGGGGTACATACATCCAAAGCTCACATATGTAATACTAATTGATAGTTTAACTCTATGTCCAGACTAGACCTTGGTGTGAACCTGTCAAAACGACAGCACTCTCCTCTGTTGTTTGAAATCCAGGGAGAGGGGAAAGTCAGATAATTAGTAATAAAACGTTATAATTATAGTATTGGCTTGAGTCCCTCCACTAAAGAAAACTGTAAAAATATAAGAAGATTAGTTAAGGATTAGATAAAAATCAGCTGAGATAATTGGCATAGATTTTGAAGAAAAGTGTGCAGACTAAAGCAAATGCTATTATCTCACTAGGTAACTTCAGGCAAGCCAGCTCGGTCATAAGCAAAGTGAGAGGCACCCACCCATTAAAAACCACAGACAGAATGGTCACAAGTATTTACTATGCTGTGTTGGCTACATTAAGCACACAGAACAATTTAAACATGATATCATTTCTGCAGGCACAAACAGTTCCGGGAACAGAAGCCCTCTGTTCTGATGGGTAACAGGTGGAATCAAGACAACGAGAGGGAGCAGACACAAAACAGAGAACAGGGATTGGAAGAAACTAAAAGGGCTGGCTTGAGAAACAGTTGGCAGCAAGGGAATGAAATCCCAGAAGCCCTGCTGCTGACAGTAGTTGCATGAAAAAAATGAGAAAAAAAAATGCAGAAAGCGGCCACCAGAAAATAATGGGGTACATCAGTTGTTCAAGTACAGGATCTTGAGAATGCTCCATCTACAACAGGAATACACTGCCTCACCTTACGATGAGAGTATGATTATGATTATGATTAAGATACAACACACAATCTTTGACTGGTATTATAGAACAGATACAAGTTTTAACCAAAAATCTAAGTTTCAGTTAAAATGCTAGTGTAGTATGTATGCTGTTCCTAATATTTTTACAGCTCTGATGATGTTATTTCAGAAATCAACACCAGTATTATAATCAACTGATTATAATATAACATCCCACTGTATTGTTCCCAACGCTTCAATATGGGGACCACTGAAATGCACTGCTGTTATTGTTGCTGTTGCTGTTACATGGTACTTATTTCTCAGCATTTCTGATGTATGGGGGTGGATCAATGGGTTAAGCCCAAAAAATTAGAAATCAAGTCCTAAAAATCTGCTGGTCAGATGATAGGTTTGCAAAATCAATGATTTCTGAATTCCAGGAAGCAAATTAGCAGCTATTGGTAAATGTTTCAAATTTGCACCTGTAGATTTTGGAGTGATTCCAGTTGCTGAAATTAGTATGGGGAGAAAAAGGATTTGATCTTGCTTACACATTTTTCAATTAATGTTCAGTACTTGACAATTTTTGTACTTTCTTAAAAGTACAACAGTTGTTTTTTAACAGGAGCCTACTAAGGATTTTCGTTCTCCTTTATGCACCTTATACTGCTGCCATGCGTACCTGCAGATTTTGGAGTGATTCCAGTTGTTGAAATTAGTATGGGGAGAAAAAGGATTTGATCTTGCTTACACATTTTTCAATTAATGTTCAGTACTTGACAATTTTTGTACTTTCTTAAAAGTACAACAGTTGTTTTTTAACAGGAGCCTACTAAGGATTTTCGTTCTCCTTTATGCACCTTATACTGCTGCCATGCGGATGCACCTAGCTTCAACTCACAACTCCCTTTTATAAGTAACCTGCAACCTCCCTCACCACATTTGCATTAAAAAGGGATTTTAAATGGGTGAACCATCCTCAGAAAGCAGAGGCTTTGTTTTTCCCTAAAGGGCCTGATTCTCTCATATACACACTAACTTTTCAATCCCCCTGTGAAAGGTCAAGGAATAAATTATTTAACAAGGGCTATAACACATATAAGGTGACCCACGACCTCCTTGGACATCATAACTCCCAGGTTGGAAGACACTGATTAAGTGGGTATGTGGGTGAAATATATATAAGGTGACCCATGACCTCCTTGGACATCATAACTCCCAGGCTGGAAAACACTGATTAAGTGGGTATGTGGGTGAAATAAATGTCTATAGTTCTTACACAACTTTCTGGTACAAACTCTCATTGAATCAATAGATTTCTAATTCAATCTAATTTCAGTACATTCCACTGAAGTCTGTGGTTAATAATATGCTCTGCTTGCCACTACTAGTGAAGCAAAACTAAGGGGGAGGGGATATTTAACTACTGTGGATGTGGTTCCCTTACAGCCTACATGCAAAATGTTTTCACCATCCAACAAGTCTCCTGCAACATGGCTCACCTGCTCTGCAGTGGGTGGTTGCCATGCATGTTCCCATAACAACTGGTGTATGAGGATTGAGACAGCGTATCATAATCAGAAAGTCCCAATGGAATCTGAGTCCGCCAGTTCCCAGAGGTGTTTGCAGAAGACGCTAAAAAAGAGGAGGGGAAAACATGAAAATGAATAACTTATTTGGCCAATACACTTTTCAGGAGGATGTGTTTCTTCCTCACAAATGTGCAAATAGTTGAAAATCTGACTGTTTTGACAGAGCCAAAGAGGTTAATACCCCAAAAGTGAGCAACAGATTGATTGATGGGACTCCCTACCAGCAGAAAATGTGCAATTGAATCAGTTCAAATGAGTATTTCCAAAAGTAATGGATGTCAGTGACATGCTTAGCCAACAGATTAAGACAAGGCACCTCTTTAATAATATATCCCTAGATTTTATGATAAAGTGACAAGGTGAACAACTACAAATCAGTGCTGCTGCTTTAACTACTCAGTTTTCTTATAACTCAAAGTATTAACATCCAAATAAAAATTATCATTAACACTCTATTCTTCATCTTTCTACCACATAAGTATGTTTTCCAGATTTATAAGTATGATATCTATGAAGCTTTTGATATTAATCCAAATTCTGTAAACTATGTAGTTTTATGTCAAGTTCTATAGCATTTGCTTCATCATTTTCCAAATATGCCCAGTATTCAAAATATGCCCTCTGATGTCCATCAATTTTGTTTTCTGTGTCCTGATTTTGTAAGAATGTATCCATATTAAGACTTTTACAATTCTGAATTCAATCCTTCAGTCTTTCTTTCAAAGTGCTACACTATTGCTTGTCTTGAAGAATAAGCATGAGAATCAATTTATTTTGTAGTGCATTGTTGTTTTTTAATGAAAAGAACTAGCATTCATAGCTATCCCAATGATACAGATATTGGCGGAAATGAGCATAAGCTTCAGTTTTTATGTTATTGTCTTCTCTACTTCCACTGCACAAAAAATCCTGAATGATCTACTGCTTGTTTCTGTGCTTAAACACTTCATTAACTATCTGGATCTGACCACTGTGGGAGAGACAGGATATAGGACTAGTTGAACCACTTGGGTGTGCTGATAAATAGGCTTCTCCCATGTTTCTTAACCTCCCAAGTACTGCTGACATCCAAATATCTTCTAAACCAGTTAGACCATGTTTTCAAAACCAGTGCAGTAAGTCTTGTCTAGATTCCTGTCTCTTAATCCAGAGTAGCTGCTATAGAGATTTGCCATGGCCTCTTTTATAGTACCATACCTAGACTGACAGAATGATGTTAACAAAACATGTAAACACTGAACAGTAAAAGGAAATAGTGTTCACATTTGAACCCATATATTTACCTTGATACAAACTATAGTTTAGAAAGCAAGATGTGGGGCTCTCTTACCTGTTCTTATATAGTCTACGTTAGGGGTGAGGAGCTGTGCCCTCTCTCTGTGTGTGGACTACAACTACCATAATCTTTTTCCTCTGGCTATCTTGGCTAGGGCAGCATGGGAGCTGCAGGTCAAGAACACCTGGAGGACTATAGTCATCCATTATAGGTAAAGGTAAAGGTTCCCCTTGACAATTTTTGTCCAGTCGTGTCCGACTCTAGGGGGTGGCGCTGACTAGTGTCATCCATTATAATGCATTTATATTTTCTGAAACTTCATGGCACAGTGGTTAAATTGCATGACTGCATGGGAGACTCTCTTCATGACCTGAGTTCAATCCTGGGCTCAGGTAGACAGCTTGAGGATGACTCAACTTTCCATCTTTCCAAGGATGGTATACTGAATAACCAGCTCACAAAGTGTTTATGTGTGCATTGTGTATCCTGCAGAATTAAAATCGTAAACTTTTCCATCTTTCCAAGGATATATTGAATAAGCAGCTCACGAAGTGTTTGTGTGTGCAGTGTGTATCCTGCAGAATTAAAATCGTAAACTGCCCAGAGAGTGCTTTAAGCACTATGGGATATTGCCAATTTTGAATCTTTAAAGTGCAATAATTTGCTTCCTTTAAAAACGAACAATTTTTGTTTGCCAAAGTGCTGAGATGGACTAGCACAAATACTTTGTTGGAACTTTTCCATACCAAGCTTCAAAAAAGTTCCCAATGGTTGTTTCACTGCTTCCCACAACTGAATAATTATTTCCTCCCAAGCCCGCTTCATGCACTGAATGGATTGAGAGAGCAAATTTAGTAGTATCATCTCCAGGGATTTCTGGGGCCCCTTGATAAACCAATGATTCAAGAGCACCAGTAGATCATTTGGGTCTTGGGGCTTTGTTTCTGTCATGAATTCAAAGCCCTCTATGTGTGCTGCAATGCCGATAAAGAGTTTCTACGACAGTGGGCTCTTCCATTTAATCAAAATGGTGGAACAACTCTGTGCATGCAAAGGAATGAGTTATACTTGGAAGTGAATGATGCTGAGAAATCGTTTCAGTCAGTGGAACTCTACGCATGCACAGACACACCTACACTGGCAAGAACTGGACCGGAGTTCTTATGATTCACTATACTATCCTGAACACAATGATTTCATTTAATTTTGGAAGGTAAACAAGGCTAAAACAGTGTTGGGCTTTTTTAGCACATAGATGAGAGACAACAATGGAACACCAAGGTCGCCAGGCAAGGCTACGACAGAATCCTTCTTAGAACCCAGAGAGCCCATCACAGTTGACTATGTTCCCAAGTCACATAAAATCAGGGAATGGAGAGGTGGATGTCAGAAATCAATTACAACACACTGACAGTTACCTGAAGAGAAAGAAGATGCGCGACTGCTTGAACAACATGGCACCTGCAGTCCAGCAAAGCCCAGGTTTCTATGGGACCCTCGGTCAGTGTCCAAGCCCGCCTGCAGGCCAAGACTCTGGTCTTTCTGCCCAGAGGCACGCTGGTACCAGCCACGAAGATGTTCCGCTACTAAGGCCTTGTGAATATTTTTGGTGATGTGCTCAGCTTTTACAGAGGGCTTTCGTGGCAGGCGCAGGGTGGCATAGGGATTGTGTGGAACTCTCTCCACCTCCTCTTCATGGAAAGACCTGAACTCCCGGTAGCGGCGCTCATACCCATAATGTGCTGATGAGCGGTAGGAAGGGTTGACGGTGTACTGGCCCTCTCTGCCATTCTCATACACATAGCCACCATTATAGTACACATCACACTCTGGGTAAGGGGTGTAGCCAGTAATGTAGCAATTGCCTGATAGGTTCCCTGGACCTTTTTGGTAGCCACCATTGCGGATGTCCTTCTGGGCGAGGTTTGGCATGCTTCCTGAATTGGAAGCAGAAATGCTTTGTTTCTTGGACCTTCTCCTGTTTCTTGTGCGGTTGTCAAGGGTCTGGGTGGTGTAGCAGGGGTTCGGATTTGGGATCACGCAATAGTATTCTGCACTGGACTGGCTGGTGTAAGAGGATCCATCATCTAGGATTTCTGTACTGCTGCTCCTTTGGGATTTTGAAAGGGTGAATACTGGCTTTTCTTTGGCAGTCTCGGACAGTACGTTGGTCTGGGATTCCAAGCTGCCACTCCGCTGCCTGCAGTGCTGGGGTGATTTATCGGGGCTGGGAAAGCAGAAATGTATGCTTGTTACAGTCATACCCAACAGCAGCGTGAGCTATCATTAAGTACACTTACTTTAAAAAAATAAGTAAAAACATAAAAAAAGATTCAATAGAGAAGCAAGCAACCTATGGGAAATGTTGTATTTTCTTTCTTGAAAATTTTCAAGGGAAGTCCAGATAGGAATCTAATAGGGATAGTTGAGAGAAAGAACATCAACATTTGATAGAAAACTGGAACAGGGGACCATTTGAATTGCCCTTCAGTTCTAGTATATTTTATAATAAGCCCACATATTCACACCAAGATCTTCAGATTTCACAGAAGACAATGGCTGAAATCCAGTAAAGGTAAAGGTTCCCCTTGACATTTTGTCTAGTCGTGTCTAACTTTAGGGAGCGGTGCTAATCCCTGTCTCCAAGCCGTAGACCCAGCGTTTGTCCGTAGACAGTTTCCATGGTCACGTGGCCAGCACGACTAGACATGGAATGCCGTTACCTTCCCACCGAGGTGGTACCTATTTATCTACTCTCATTTTTACATGCTTTTGAATTGCTAGGTTGGCAGGAGTTGGGACAAGTGACAGGAGCTCACTCCATCACGTGGATTTGATCTTATGACTGCAGGTGTTCTGACCTTGCAGCACAGAGGCTTCTGCAGTTTAACCTGGCACCACGTCCTAAATCCAGTACTAAGCTGCAATTCCAGCAGGCACATTGAATCAATAGTAAAGATGGGGGTATTCGTATACTAATATCCTCACACAAGTGGACATAAAGAGGGTCCATCCCCCTGGGGCTGGACAGTCCACTCACCTTCTGCTGTTGCTGCAGGCTACACCCTTCCTATTGCTCCAGAGCTCGCAGTCTGCAAGCTGCTCCTGGCAGGAAGCAGGAGGACAAGCCTTTCTGCAAGGTCAAAGAGTTGCTCCCAGACCGTGAGCTCCACGGTGATAGGGAGCGCAAAGCCTGTGGCAACAGCAGAAGGTGAGTGGACAGTCCGGCCCCAGGGAGCTGGACCCTCATTATGTCCACCTGTGTGGGGGTATATTCATATACGGATACAAATACCTCCATTTCTAATCAATAGGGATTTGGTCAGCCAACTCTCCTTATGTTCCATCAAATCCTTGGGCCTACTCTAGTTGCAATTTACTCCTGGCTTTCAGCCATTAGGTCCTAAACTGTTGGCTGAAGGGCTGAATCACACATGAGCACCCAACCTAATCATTTTAGTTTAATGACGATTGACTAACATCACTAAATTAAATGATTGACTATTAATCATTTAGTTTAGTGATGATATTCAATTAAAATGTTTTCAATACAGCAAGACATAACTACTGTACTAGAGATCAAGTCACACATTCCACCAGTCTATTATCCAAAGGCCCTACAATCTTGCCACCGTGAATTTAAATTTCACAGACATAAAAACAATGCTGAGTATAAGCGGTGAATGTATCATTAAAATAATTATTAATTTTAAGCATTTCTGAAGTGCTTTTCTGTAAGCAGTGCAGTGAACAAAAAGTTCATACCTGAATAATAATCAAATAAAAACTTATCAAAATACTTGTTTGACCTCATGCTCTTAATAAGTCCTTAAATTCCTTTGAGTCAAGAACATTTGTGTATCTAGTCTCTCCATTTAAAGGTCATCTGTAATGGATAAATTCATAACCTTTACCTTTAGTAAGTTTCCTTTACTCCTGAGTATAGATGGGGTTTTTTTCATACTGGAAATGCTTTGGCATAAGAATTTTTAATGAAAGAAGAAAATCAACTTACCGTAAATGAGTGCTACTATATGCATTGCGTGTGAGAACTGGGGTTGTCGGCATGCTTCTTCCTCCCTGGTGCTGTCTCTCCACTGTTTTGTATGGAGTACTATGTGCTGACAATAGATCTCTGTGATCATAAATAGAGGAATCAATTACATCACCACCATTCTCATATTTTCAGCAAAACACAAAGCAGAACAGTATTGGCATTCCTGTGCCTCGGTGCAAGATGACTAGAATACAGAAAGACTATGAGAGAAAGTGCATCTGAATATTTTATTCAGGACCACAACGTAGGGATGATGGAACAGCCATTACTCTGATAATTAAATGCAATAGCAAAGGGAGCAAATTATCACAGGATTCACACTTCACAGAGAAGACAGTGGAAGTTCAATGACTATAGACCTATAAGTTGCAAAAGGGAAAAAAAATCCAGATAATATCGGGGATTCAATACCTGGAAGTGATAAAGTGATCTCACATAAGTATTGCTGACTTTCTGCAGCAGTTTTTCGGGGCTGGGGCAAAAAAAGAGAAGGACTCCAAATGTCCTCGAAGTATGAGTGGAGACATGATAAAGGTAAAGGTTCCCCTTGACAAATTGTCCAGTCGTGTCCGACTCTAGGGCATGGTGCTCATCCCCATTTCTAAACTATAGAGCCAGCATATGTCCATAAACAGCTTTCGTGGTCATGTGGCCAGCGCGACTAGTTTGTCCATAAACAGCTTCCGTGATCATGTGGCCAGCGCGACTAGACACAGAACACTGTTACCTTCTCACCGTGGTGGTACCTATTTCTCTACTTGCATTTTTACATGCTTTCGAACTGCTAGGTTGGCAGGACCTGGGACAAGCGACGGGAGCTCACTCCGTCGCGTGGAATCAAACTGCTGATCTTTCGACCTCACAGTCCAGAGGCTTTGTGGTTTAAATCTTTCCACCTCACAGTCCAGAGGCTTTGTGGTTTAACTCGCAGTGCCACCATGGGAGACGTGACAGCCTGAGTCAAAAATGTAGGATTCTTTCCAACAAGTCACACAAAGGAGTTTACTTTTCTTTCTCTCTTGCTTCTTCCACCGTCCAATGAAGTAAATCAATGATGTCAATTCATGCTTAAAGACTAAAAGTTACTTAAAGCTATAATGCTTTTAACTGATGTATTTCAGAGATTTATTCTCTGATTTTTGATTGTGCCTATGCTATAAGCTCCTGCATTTTTAGAATGTAATGAAACATTCTACTTGATATTTTTTTATTGTGCCTTTTATCCTCCTGTTTTTGGACTGGAATCTGACTTAAGTATTTGCCTGCGACTTAAGTTTGTTTTCATATATTTTCAAGTATTTGTGCCTATTGTTTTTTCACAGCTGTGAAACTTTTGGTTGTCCTTTACATGATTCAAGTGTCTGTACCTACAGCTTTTTCAGTGATGTGTCTTTAAGTTCTGCACAACTGAAATGTGCTTGTAACTCCTCAAAAAGTTACATGTTTTCAATAACTTCAAAAGATTTTTGTGCATATGGAACACAGAAGCAATGTAGATAAATAAAGCTTTTAGAAAGAGACAATCTAATGTTGCCTGGAATTATTCCAACAATGAAATGATTTCTACCTTGATACTGAGATGAACTTTTATATGATTGAACATGGTTAATTGTTTTCATACTGGAATTAACCCTTTCGGGCATAAACATCAGCTGTGCTGAACATAGCCTTCTGAGTCTTCCTAAAGGCCCATAAAGCTCTATAACACTCTTAGGGTGGTGTTCAAGCATCAGACTTTCTGATTTGACAAGAGCAGATGTTTTTAAAAACACCTCTGAATTTTTAACACAGGCACAATTCTTTAAAATAAAGTTGAGCAAACAGAAATCATTCTAATGCAGTCTTCAGCAGTGTCAAACATCCCATACCTGGAGTGTCTGGAGTCCAGAAGCTGCTCATTCATGGAAGACTTCCTGAGATGGATTCTCTCTATGCCAAGTGATTTTGGTGATGATGATTTTGGAGAAACTGGAACAGAGTTTATTCTGTTGCCTGGTACAACAAGGGAATCACTGCCTGTTTAAAAACACATGTACACTGTAAATAAATCTTGGAAGAATGGAAGTGGTATACATACAGAAATGTTTCCACGTTCCATACTGATTGTATAATAAAATTTACCTTGAAGTTTTTGTTACTCAGAAAATTCAGAAATACTAGCTGTAATCAAACATTTTGCTAAATCCCACTATCCTAACTAAATTATATATTTATCTCATTTAATGTATTAAGATTCTATCCAGACAAGATCACATGGAGAACGAAGATAGGAATAATTGTATTAACAAACATACTGCTTGATCAGTAAAGTCCTAGGCTAGAGAGTTGAGCAATATATCACTGCAGCACTGATAGCAACATCTTTTGTATATTAACTCATATACAATCATGGAAAGAAAGAATATGTCTGCATAAATGACAATCCAAAAGCAGAATGTCACCATCAGTGAGGTGTCAAAGATTTTTTTAAACCCTTTTCTAGATTCAACAACTAACTACATGTACAAATGGATGCTTTCCATAGAAATTGGAGTGGATTTTGTCATTCCATAATTCTTCTCAAATTAAGTGCTGTTTTAGTTACAGGTTATCAGTCTCAAACAAAAGTATGTATCTGTTTCCTCTGGAGCAATGCCATCTGAAATCCATGGTTTAGTATGGCACATTTTTAGTTCCTGAGACCCACAGCCTATATTGGTTTGCATGTAAAGCTTTGGAACTAGCTCTGGAATTCATGAAGCCTGACGGGCCCAAGATCGTACAGAACATGTAGAAGCAAGCCTTATATTAATTGAACATTTGCCAAATATTTGCTGAAATCCTGTTGCTTAATACAGTAAGTTGGACTAGAGAAGTCCCAAATCAGTTGGGAATTCGTGGATCAACTCAACAACAACAACAACAACAACAACGGTGGATCAACTCAATAACAACAACAAACAACATGCTGTAAAGTCAGTTCTCCAATGCACCCTTTTCAGGGGTTTTAAGGCAGAGAATACTCAGAAGAGGCTTACCAATCCCTTCTTCTGGGATTGCCCTGGGACTGTGAAGCTTGCCCAAGGCCACACAGGCTATCTCAGTGGCACAGTGGGTGAATCCATTTCCCAACCTTTGGCTCCACAGCCAGAGACCTAAACCACTGAGCAATTCAGCCAACTCCCCCATAAGTTCCATTAATTCAAGGGGCCTACTCTAGTGTGGCTTACAAGACTAAGCACCAGGGTTTCAGCCGTTTTGGGTGCACTGGAAAACATTCAAACGTTAAAGGGGAACACAAAGAAATCTGTAGAACAAACCCTCTGATGCCAGTTAAGTGCTTGCCATTTTTCATGGAAGGGTGCCTAGAATTTTATTAGTAAAGAAGCAAATGGTTCACAGAGAGCAGCTGGCTCTCCCTTCTCTTGAAGAGACAGTTGCGCTCTAGGTCTCTCACAAACAGCTGTGAGGAGTGATTTACCAACAGGGAAATTTGACAGGCTTCTTCTATCCTCCCAATGAGGTGGTTTGTACGTTCTATCCAGTCTTAAGAAATATTGAGGACAGACAGTGAAGTATCTAATTCTCACACAAACCATTCAGCCCAGAACAAAGTTACTTTATTTGGACTGTAGTTCTAAAACAGTAACTTCCAGAAGCTCTGCCCCCCCCTCTCTCTTTTTTTTTGCCTGAATCACATCACCATGTATTTGCACTCCCATGTCTGAAGAAGTGTTTGGTGATATGTGAAAGCTCACACTAAAGTCAAACTACAACATTTTGTGTGAGTTTTTTTTTCTTTTCTATTGCCAGCATTTTTTAGTTTGACAGTCTAAGCCCTTGTGAATAATGTAGGCTATCCCTACCATTTAAGTTAGCAGGGCTGCATTCTTGTTTACTCTAAAACAAGATCAGATACGGGCAAAATGTTTCCGAACAACATTTCTATATTGAGGAAACCACATCCTTTGTGTTCTTGGGACCAGGTAAGCAGAAAAGAGGTGTCAGACCAAAATTAAGGGTCACTTGGCATTAGAGGAGCTTGTATACAAACGTTTCACATTTCTCTTCAAGAGATAATGAGATAATGGGAAGGGCGGGAGGGTGTTCCCAGAAAACTAATAACTAGCCTCTTGTCAGCTTGCAGGAAATACTCAACCCAAATTAATATTAGGGCAATTAAAATAAACCCCGAGAATCGTGGAAAAAATATTAAAGGTATAATAACAGCTTGTTTATTGACTAAATAGGGAGTTTAATCTTTCAAGGCCATTAGAGCTTTGTATTAGCATATTGCCATTCTTTGTATTCTCACTGAATCCAAAGAAGTAGCCAAGTTAGTTTGTCATAGCAGGTTGCCAAAATTAAAGGGGGAAAGAAGGGGGAGGGGGAAGGCAAAATATTGTGGAACTTCAAAGGCTAAAAGAATTGTTTTAGTATGAACTTCCCTGGATGTGTTGAAGATGCGGATTTTGATCATGAATATTCATCCTCAAAACAAATTTGTTAGTCTTTAAACTGCCATAATACTTTGTTCTTTAAAAAACATTTTTCTCTTTAATTCTGCTGCCATATTTCAACTGAAGCATCAGTTAAACAAGGGAAACCCCCCACAATTTGGCTAAGGCAGAACTTAAAATTACAATCCTAGCACAGTGCAGTTCAAAGTTAACTGTTTCAGGCAACAACGGTGGTAACAGAGGAACACAACTGATCTTTTCCTTGTATTATACACAATGGACAAAATAATCAATAAAGCAAATGTGTGTGAAATTTAGCTGTCTTCAATTTAGCTGTTTTATCCCCTTACTCCTGAGCTGAAAATATATTATTAAGCTTGAAAAAAGTTGCATCTAGACTTTAAAGTGGCAATGTGTGAGCAGTTGTTTGTGTGATTAATGGAACGGCTGAATCGGTTCAATGATCTTTATCAGTTTTCAGAAAGAAGGGTAAGGATATAAATTGAATTAAGGACAACAGTAAAAATGGTAATAATGATGAACACTAGCAGCAGCCCAAGACTCAGATTGCTCATGAGATAATACATAAAGGCACTATTTTCCTACTCCCCCCCCTGTGCTTTCTAAAGAACCTGGGCATCTCAGTTTGCCATATGTTGTTATACATCCCCTTTAATAACTGATGGTTAAGGAGGAGACGGCTCAGAATCAAAGAACATCTGGTGAACCAAGAATGGACTAGACTCAAATCTTATACTAGTAAACAATCCTGAAGTTCCTTGGGATGTCCTGAAGGCTCCTTTATCATACCTTAATCTCCAAATCCCATTACGAAAGTGGTTTCCAACTTTTTGGGCTTACAGATCCCCTGAGCAGGGTATGGGGAAGAGCAGGGAAGCAAAGAAGCCCAAAAGAGATGGAATTGAAGCTGGAAGTACAGCAGCAGCACTGCTGGCTCAGCAAAAAATAAATAAAAATTAAAATTAAAATTAAAAAAAAATCAGAGAGAAGCTTCCGTGTTGCTCTTGGCTGGCTTGGAGGTGCACCAGAGAACTGTGGGATGCCACGAGGGCTGCAGGTTGCTACGGCATACTTTGGGAATCCCTGCATTGTGAGTTTGAATATGTTGAGCCTGTACAGCCATCCTAAACCAGAATTCAGTGTTGATCCCATGAACAAGATCCGAGTTCAAGTTCTTTGCTCTGACTTTTCTGCTGGCCCTTTACGTAATACTTTAATCCAAATTCAGTCCCCCAGTTCAAGAAAATCTAGGTTCACCAAAACACTCCAGCTGGTTTTTATTCAGAATCTCTTGGAGGTTCTGACCTGTCACTGTCTGAATAATTATTAAAAAGGTTTACAAAATACTGTCAGAAATGGTAAGGAAGGATAGGGCATGGAGGGAAAAGCCCCTAACCAGCAAAAAGAAGATAAAAATAATCCAACCTAGACATGGCCTTGGCAAATTTTCATCAGAACCTTTGGTTTAAAAAAAATTCCCTTCTGTTTCTTCTTGTAACAAAAATAAATATGCTTTCTGGGGCATAACAAATGTGATATACTTCACTAGCCTTTATTTTAAATTATGGGCATAAATGTCCTAACAAAGCAAGAGTACACACATGTAAATCAAAGATAGGCTAACTCAGGGAAGTTCACTTCCTCCTCTTCCTTGCAGCTCCCTCTGTCCTATCACACATTGTACAGAATGTGCTGTCAACTCTACAGAAAGACTTTGGGGCTACACCACCGAGTGCAGGGAAAGGAAAGCATGGATCTTCCTTTGCTTCAGTTTCTCATGGTGCAGTGGTTAAACTGCAGTAAGGCAGTGAAGGATCTACTTGCAATCTGAGTTTGAACCTGAACACAGGTCGCCAGTTTAAGGTTGACTCAAGTTTGCTTCAGTTTCTCATGATGCAGTGGTTGAACTGCAGTAAGGCAATGAAGGCTCTACTCCAATCTGAGTTTGAACCTGGACACAGGTCGCCAGTTTAAGGTTGACTCAACCTTCCATCCTTCCAAGGTCAGTAAATTGAGTACCCACCCTCTGGGAGGAGGAGCAATGCATAGTCAGCATAATTAATTGTAAACCGCACAGAGAGTGATTTAAGCACTTGTGGGGCAGTATGTCAGCACCACACTTTGCTTTCTGTTTTGATTTCTCTAGGTGATCAACCTTCATTTTGCTTTGTTTTGCTATGCTTTGATTTCTCTAGGTGATCAACCTTCATTATCCTTTATTATATAATTTAGATGTCTGTTGAGTTTTCTTTTTGTTCTGTTTTGGATAAGGTATCTCTTTGTACACAAGATACATCTTTCACCTTAGGCCCCTGTCTGAGAATAGACAGACACCTGGGAACATAGAATGTAAGATTTTACACTGCGAGTTTGAACTGAAAAGGAAAAGTCACGTACCATCTTCAAATGTTGTTGTGTCAGACAAAGAGCTGCTCTCAGAGGGGATGATGTCCTCTGCGGGAAAAGAGAACAGATCTTTCAGAATTGCAATATTTCATTTGGAATTTTGTATACTGGGCTCAGATGCTGGATTGGATGCATTCATTCAGATATATGCACTCTAATGCGTTACAGCATAGTGAAGGTAAGCAAAATTAACAAGGCCAGTAATTAACAAACAAAAATGCAAATCTACAATTTAAAAGTAAGCAAAACCAAATAAATGTAGAACCAGCATTTTGAGAACTGGAATGCCAAGCAAAATAAAGGATTCTCTAGCATGGTAAGATAATTTAAGTAGTCACTAATATCTTAACAGTATAATGTCATGCAAGTCAGCTGTTGGTAATTCTTAACATTCTTTTCTGCATCATAATAGTATCCATTGATTCTGGGCCACACATAGAACATTTGGCACACTGCACAAGTGTGAAGCTCTGCAATGCTCAGGACCAGAACTATCTTTGTAGTCACCTGTACCAAGGAACACTGACAGGACTGTAACTATGGCTGCCAAGCACATATTTAATCTCCTATTACTAGGGTAACCAGAGACCATAGTTGCTACATTCTACTCATAACTGTATCATAGTCCTTTTTAAAGCACATAGATGTGACATTCACTGGTATACCAGAAAGTAAAGATTCAACTTTCTAGAACTTTTTCTTTCCATATTGGTTATTTTCAGGTTGATGATGAGGCTCCCATAAAATCCTGTTAATCTAGTGTCATAATTCACACTAGAGTAGGTGTGAATCAATGGGGATCTGGTGATATTATTTATTTCAGCAGAGTAGGCCCATTTGAATCAACAGACCCTAGAGAGGTTGACTCATTAAATCCCCTTGATTCAATGCCCCTACTTTAGAATGATCTATGAACAGGATTTTGGTCACTGTGACATGTTGTTTGATTATGGCTTTTTTCTCTCTTCCTTTCTCTACCTTGCCCATAATTCAAAGTTGTTTTTGCACTCCTGACTTTTTTTGCAATAAATAGACTACTACAGACAGGTTTGAGTAATCTATTCCAAATTCAGAACCTTCCTATGTAGTCATCGTAGTGTTTTAACATTGCAATTGCTATGTCAGTGAGTCACAATATCAAGGAATTCACAGCTGGTGAAACAGCCGAGCTGAAAGATTCCTCTTGAGGGTGGAAGACAGACACAGGCACAATAAGGATGACTAGTACCCCTGGTCTTATCAGGAGAAGCTCTGACAAAGTAGCTAAATTCTGAAATTAAAATCTCTTTGTAGTTGTGGTTGGAAAAAACACCGCAAAGGGTAACAAGAAATAACCACTAATCTTAAATTGAGTATCTGGCTGCAGAGCCAGTGGTTGGGAGTCTGATCTCCCACTATATATGCCCAGGAAAAAGAGTCAATCTGTGTGGCCGTGGGCAAGCGGCACAGTCCCAGAAGAGAATGATAAACCATTTCTGAGTACTCTCTACCTAAAAAGCCCTGGTAAGGGTCACCAGAAGTTGGAATCAACTTAATGGTGCATTAAAAAAAATCCTTGTTGTTGTTGTTTAGTCGTTAAGTCGTGTCCGACTCTTCGTGACCCCATGGACCAGAGCACGCCTGGCCCTCCTGTCTTCCACTGCCTCCCAGAGTTGGGTCAAATTCATTTTGGTAGTTTTGATGATACTGTCCAACCATCTCGTCCTCTGTTGTCCCATTCTCCTCTTGCCTTCACACTTTCTTAACATCAGGGTCTTTTCCTATTTATTTCTTTATTATTTATTTATTTTATTTATTCCATTTATACCCCGCCTATCTGGTCAACTGTGACCACTCTAGGTGGCTTACAACACAAGATGCAAAATACAACAGCCACATTAAAAAGGATTTTTTACACAATTTAAAAATTCTGTAAGATGGAAAGCAAACAAAATAAATCATTATATTTTATTTCCTGGGAGTATTCTCATGAGATGGCCACAGTATTGGAGCCTCAGCTTCAGGGTCTATCCTTCCAGTGAACACTCAGGGTTGATTTCCTTCAAAATTGATAGGTTTGTTCTCCTTGCAGTCCAGGGGACTCTCAATAGTCTCCTCCAGCACCACAATTCAAAAGCATCCATTCTTCGGTGGTCAGTTTTCTTTACGGTCCATATCTTCCCCTTCTATTTGCCAGGAGGTGATGGGACCAGTGGCCATTATCTTAGTTTTTTTGATGTTGAGTTTCAGGCCGTTTTTTGCACTCTCCTGTTTCACCCTCATTACAAGGTTCTTTAATTCCTCCTCACTTTCTGCCATCAGAGTGGTATCATCTGCATATCTGAGATGGTTGATATTTCTTCCGGCAATCTTAATTCCGGCTTGGGATTCCTCCAGTCTAGCCTTCCGCATGATGTATTTTGCATATCAGTTAAATAAGCAGGGAAACAATATACAGCCTTGTCATAGTCCTTTCCCGATTTTGAACCAATCAGTCGTTCCATATCCAGTTCTATCACTTCCTGTCCCCCATGTAGATTTCTCAGGAGGGAGATAAGGTGGTCAGGCACTCCCATTTCTTTAAGAACTTTCCATCGTTTGTTGTGGTCCACACAGTCAAAGGCTTTTGCATAGACAATGAAGCAGAAGTAGAACGTTTCTCTGGAACTTTCTGGCTTTCATGGATTGTTGCCTTGTCGTGGCGAAGGGGCTTCAGTAATTCAGAGAAGCTATGGACTAGGCCGTACATAGACACCCATGATGGAAAGTCATAGTGGAGAGTTCTGACTAAATGGGCCATACATAGACACACAAGACAGAAAGTCATAGTGGAGAGGTCTGACTAAACGCGATCCACCTGGAAGCCACTCCAGTATCTTTGCCAAGAAAATGGACAGAAACAAAAGGCTAAAAAAAATCCTTAAGAACGTACAAAGAGCCCCGCTGAGTCAGACTAAAAGTCTGTCGGGTCAGCACTCTGTCCAACCTGTCACAATCCATTCACTTGCTAGAATCAATAGACAGAAACAAAGGCTAAAAAAATCCTTAAGAACATACAAAGAGCCCCTCTGAGTCAGACCAAAAGTCTGTCAGGTCAGCACTCTGTCCAACTTGTCACAATCCATTCACTTGCTAGAATCAATCCTTATGTTAGTATGACAAGATAAAGAAAACCTAGGACTTCAGAGGAATGCCACCATGTTTTAAAATACTCAAAACATGTGCATTACTTTTTCTGAAGCCATGCCAACGCTACTCTGAACTGGTGCTCTACGAACAGACTACGGGATGAGACAGAAACTATAGCTTTAAAATCAGAGACTAGGCCAATCTCATGTCAAAAAAGCAGCAACACCTTATAGCTTTAAAATCAGAGACGGGCTAGCACAGGGTGACTTGAGGCCAATCTCATGTCAAAAAAGCAGCAACACCAGTGTTAACATGGAGCCGTTATCCAAATTCCTTGGTCCAGAGGGATGCCAGTATAAAGCTGTAGGCAACAGCTCCACAGTCAAAGGCAAACGAAACTGGCTTCTCAGTGGTGTACTGCTTTTAAATTGGCTCTCGTGTTGGCACCCATACTGACAGATCTGTCACGCACTGCCCTGCTTTCACTGACAGTTATTGGCACTTCTCATGCTTTCCTCTCTAGAGCCCATTTTTGTTATCTAGTCATTTTCTCCACATGAAGGTGCTGGAATACTATAATCACTCTAATCCCCTTAGCCTCCATTTTGGTGAGCTGAACTAAACCAAACTGCTTATGTTTCTCTCTGTACCAGCTTGTTTCCCAACACCTGAGTCATTCAGGGAGCTCTCCTCCACACATTTCAACATTTCTCAAAATGCAGACACCCTCTCTGGTCCAACCAGTCATACGTTATCTATTTTCATTTCTTCTTCCTCTTATATGTCTACATAGCACTGGGTTGTTTACAGCAAGTTAAGAAAATGACTCTGCATTGGTTACCAACACAGTTCAGAGTATAGCATCTGAAAACGTAGGGCCTACAGAATGTCATCTATGGTTGTCACAAAAAGACGAGATGGTAGGTGGATGGTTAGGTAGGTGAGTAGAGAGATTAAGAAAAAAAATTGCCTGTAGCTTGGTCTCTGGTTTATTATTATAGTAGTCTTTTGACAGTTAAAATTTGTATTTGGTTTAAGACATGGAGACAAAATGCTGAAGCTGCATAATAATAATTTCATGCCATCAAATGAGTTCTGATTTACAGCAACATTTTTCAAGCTTTTCTAACTATTGTGGTACTTCGACTTGAGAACATTCCTACATAAGAACGATCTGAGTTAAGAACGGCTCCATTCACAAAAATTGCTTCGACTTGAGAAAGGAGCCTCAACTTAAGAACAAAAAAAAGAGAGAGAAAACACATTTTTCCTGCCCTTTTTTTGACCTAAGTTCACCTTAGGTCAAAAGAAGAAAAAAAAACTGCCTTCTAGTGGTAGGTACAGATTAAATGGTTTTCAATGCATTCCTATGGGAAATGGTGCTTCGACCTAAGAATGTTTCGACTTAAGAACAGAGTCCCAATATGGATTAAGTTCTTAAGTCGAGGTACCACTGTACAAAGTACTCAGAAGTGGTCTACCGTCCCCTTCTTCTGGGGACATTCTGGGTCTGTGCAGCTTGCCCAAGGCCAAAGTAGAGCTGGCTCTACTCTGGCACAGTGGGAAATCAAACTCCCAACTTTTAGCTCCACAGCTCACTACCTCACTGAGCTATCCAGCACACATACATGGTGTCAAGAGATGGGGAAACAAGAGTTCATAGTTTCTGTTGCTCTTCTAGAACACCAGGCCTTGCATTAATTCCTCAGAGGAGCTGACCAGGAGGAAGAGAAAGTTGCCACTGTTGATTGGAAGGAAACAACCAGCTGTGCCTTATATCTGTGACAACGAAAACTTCCGAGGGTGGACTGAGCTTACTTCTTAGGCCAGAGTTAATTAGGAGGAATGGTTTCAGTTGAGCGAAGGAAAGTTATTATCTTTGTAAATGTTTGGGGAAAGTGGTTAACTTTCTGGAATTTTTGGTGACTTCCTAGAATCACACTGCTTGATCAAAGTTGACTAAGGTATTGGGAGAATACCAGGCAGAAAGATTTCCCCAGTTATCAGTACATTTGCCACTCCTTGATTTTAGCCACACCAGGAAAGTCAGTTTAGTATGGCTGAATGGTTAGGGCAGGGTTCTCTGGCCGAGAAAACCTGACACAAGTAAAACAAAATACTGCTCCTGGGAAAATCTGTTTTTCTCCCAGGTACTGTGATGACTGCAACTAAGCTCAGAGGCAAGAGGGAAACCTAAAGAGGGTGGGGGATGATGTTACAACCGTTATCTGCTATTCAAAAAGTCCCCAGAGCTTCGTGTCATAAGTATCTCTGATAACTAATATCTCCTTAGTCTGCTGATGTTATGAGAATACACGTTATCGAAGAGGGTGGGGGATGATGTTACAGCCGTTATCTGCTACTCAGAAAGTCCCCAGAGCTTAGTGTTATAAGTATCTCTGATAACCAATATCTCCTTACTCTGCTGATGTTATAAGAATACACGTTATCATCAAAATTCTCAACACTGCTGCACTCACATTTGGGAAAGATTTGAAAGAACAGGGACTAAAAGGTTCAGAATACTACATTAATCCTAGGACTGGGAGTTGTGTAGTTAAAAAAAGAGTAACATTTCCAGCCTCTGTTAAAATACAGTTTGATGGGTGCCAGGGAAGGATGCCCCTACCCTTTCTAATGGACATACCAATAGAGTGACAGGATATATGAATAGACCTTTGGTTGTCTCTCTTTAATGGCAGAAGTTTCACTGAGCATCGTAAGGACAACTCTTGTAGAGCTATTTACATGCATCTTAAAACTTTTCTTCTACAATAAATCTCTAGCATATATACTTCCTCACTGAAGTCTTCCTCATTGCATTACTTTTTAAGCTCTTAAACTAGATACTTCATTCTTATCATTTTGTTGGGCATTTGAACACACACACACACACACACACACACACACACACACACACACACACTTCTTTTCCTTTTCTCACGGCTAGCTTTTTTCTCATTAAAGCCTAGCAAGTGGGCAGGCATCCTGGATAGGGGAGGAAGCCTTCCTTTAATTGAGCATTTGAATCACAAGAGCCCGTGACTAGCTACACAATCACCCATGGCAGTCACTCTTCTCAAATAAGCTCTGAGGCTTAACAGAACAAGGTACCACAGTAGCCTTGACTAGAAGGATGCAGCCAGCCCTTCAACATGCTTTGCTTTCTCCCTTGAACATGCCTGTTCTTGTGCAGCGCTTTGCCTGTATTCTCCTCACAGCTTACATAAAAACATGGCAGTGAGATTACAGGTAAGCATCAGGCTGTGCCAAACCCATGAGGCAAGGGCATACTATTTCTCCTTGGTAGGACCGAACTTTGCCTGGCTGTGGACTGAATCAAAATGCATTTTTTCCATGCAAAAATTATACTCCAAACAGTTAAAAAAGGAGAGACTGCATCCACCCGTCAGTCCCTGCTTCATTAGAACACTGGATAACATCTGATACCTGGTAAGGTCAGGGTTGACTTCTGTGTAGGCTTCTTCCCGCACTTAATCCTGTATTCATTAATAGAGTTTTCAATCTCTTGCAGCTTTTTCAGTGCTTCTGTGTAATCGTGCTTTCTCTTCTTTTTCACATTTTTGCACAGGTCTGGCTCGCCAGCGAGCTTCTTTGCTGCTTCCACCAGCTTTTGCTGTATGAAAAAGTTGCTCTCTAGCTCCTGAAGAGCTGGATCCTATACAAAGAAAAAAAGTGTTTAAGACTGGGACAAAACCAGTAACAATTCCACTATAGTTTGGTCCAGCAGACACAGCAAATGCTAATTTAATATTTAAGCCTACGTAAACCTCCTGAATTTTCTGAAGGCTCCGGTAGGATAATGCTGGAGGCTTTCTTAGTCAAAGTTTGTAAACAACTATGAAGATTAGAGATGAAAGTAGGCATAAAGAAAAATTATAAAGCAGTCTCTTGTTAACGACTAGGGATTCTCCCCCCCCCCAAGACTTTTACAGTAATATAGAAAAGGACCTCACTGTGTGCTTATCCCACTGAAGGGAACAGGATCCTATTGGCTGAAAGGTGTCAACTGTCCCAAAGCCACTAGTAAAGTAAAAGGCAGCAATCCTCTAAGTTGGTTTTGAAATATAGAAAGGTACTCTAATAACACATGAAGTCAAAAGGGGGTAATGGTTAAGCCACTGGACTAAGAAGATCCACATTCTAATCACTGTCAGCCTGATCAACTTCTCAGGGATATTGTGAGAATAAAGCAGAGAGGAGTAGAGCTTTGTATACCATCACCCTCTGGTCATCCGAGGAAATATGGGTTATAAATGTAGCAAGATGTAACACAAGAACCAAAATACATTGCATATTTCTCAAACAGAATAATCATAATGCTGCAATCACCTTGGATGTCCTGAAGTTCCTCTCATCTCTCTCTCTCTCTCTCTCTCTCTCTCTCTCTCTCTCTCTCTCTCTCTCTCTCTCTCTCTCTCTCTCTCTCTCTCTCTCTCTCTCTCTCTCTCTCTCTCTCTCTCTCTCTCTCTCTCTCTCTCTCTCTCTCTCTCTCTGTGTGTGTGTGTGTGTGAGAGAGAGAGAGAGAGTGAGTGAGTGAGGGGGGGGCTGCACTTGGCTAAAGCTAGAAAACCCAAAGAACAGCCATTTCATTAACACTTTTAGCATATCTTGTTTGGGGGCTGGGAACCTACTTCATATAGTCATTTTCTAAGCCCTTAAGCAGAAGACTATCCATGTAATGAATACAATTATTTGGACTGATCATCACAATTTCCCCCCTTCCTATCTCCAAGCTTCCAAAAAAGGTGCTTAACATAGATGGGCCACTCAAATGGAATGCATGCATTTGAGAAAAATGTTACCCCCCTGTGTCCCTGGTGGGACATAGCAGTTTTAGGAATACAAAGGTATGGGGATCTTGATGGGGATCCTTCAGAACAGGGGAAATAATTGTGATGGAGAGAGAACTCTTTTATAGCAAAAGGGCTTGTAAATCCGTTTTTGGAGCTTCTCTTAGGATCATCCACGTACACTCTCAGCAGCATAGGAATCACTTCTGCTTCCCTGCTGGAGGGAAGGGTGTGTACATAAAGTAACCATAAGTGGTGGGGCTAATTCCAAGCATGAAGATAAGTTAAAATCTGCTGTTGAACTCTCTCTGTGTTGTTTAATAATTGCACCAGATTCCACACATTCAGGACCGAATCCAATGCAATCCACAACTGTAAATGTGTACATTCCCAAGCCTCTGAGAAATTCCATGACAGAAAAAAAAGTCTATTCAACAATGAATATATTTTTGAAATGTGCAAATACACACACACACACACAAACCCCTACCTCCTGCATGAACTTCTAAAGTGCTCACAAACTTACTTTAGTGAAACACGGGCAGAGGTTTGAAAAATGAACATAATGCATCTGGATTTGTCCCCATAGGCGAGAAAAAACCCACACGGTAGGGAAGATCTATACAATTATATTTATTATTGCAGGTAGGGAAGATCTATACAATTATAAAATTGAAGATGTCCTTTTCAGGGGCTGCTCCCAGGTAATGGAATGCACTCTTTCATGAAATGCGGGCATTATAGAATGCTGTGTTTACTAATGGGGTGGTGTTTTAAAGTGTTTTTTAATATAGGTTGGTATTTTAAAGTGTTCTTTATATAATGGTTTTAATATTATTTACGCAATTGGTTTCATGTTATGTTTTACTCTCTTTTTAACTGTGTTTACTGCTTTAATTTATTGTGAGCTGTCTTGAGTCCCCTATAGCAGTGGTCCCCAACCTTTTTGGAACCGCAGACGGGTTTGGTGGAGTGGGGGCACCCCCCGTTCACAGGTGGGTGTGGCACATTTGCGGATGGGCATGGCGCAGTCAGAGGTGGGCATGGTGTGTTTGCACGCATGTGTGGTTTAGCAGGGGCGCATTCACTGGTGGATGTGGCGCGCTCACACACATGTGTGGATGGGCATGGCACACTTGTGGGTGAGTGCGGTATGCATGCGCGCAAGTGCGCCATGCTCACCCATGAGCACACCACGCCCACCATGCATTTGTGCGGGGGGTCTGGGAGCTCTGTCTCCTCGGCCCAGTCCTGTGAAGCCCACGGACTGGCACCGGGCTGTGGATCAGGGGTTGGGGACTCCTGCCCTATAGGGAGAAAAGTGGCATATTAAATTAAAGCTGTCCAACCACGATGCCACAAAAGCATATCGCTACTTAAACTTGTCCTCTCCCAGTGTTGTCCCCCACATTAGCTATGAGTCAGCCCCACAATGGGACCCAGTAAATAATGACGAACTTCATTTCAAAGCAAACGAAAATGGTAGAATTTGAAAAGTAACCTTTTTCCTTTCTTTTTTTCTGAAAAGGCCTGAAAAGTAACAAAGGATTTAAAAAGAAAAACAAGGCACTCACTCAAACCACAGCCAGTGAACCTGAACATACAGAATGGGGCCTACCAACACACTCTCCGTTTCCTCAGTGAGGTAAACAGAACACAATTTCTAAGCCACAATGTGACTGCAAAGAAGAAACTCTGCTAAAGATACTCCTGTGCATTACAAGCTTCACTGAAACTGCAGGCCAAAATTCCCAGTAGTTTAAATGAAGCTGAATCAGGCCATTGCCTGAGACCAGATAGCTTTTAAAGCCATTACGTCAGGGCTGAATCCAGCACATAAATAATTTAAGAGAGGCATAATCTTTGCTTCAGAACATGCCTGTACATATTTCCAACAACTTGCTGGTTTGGAATCTCCTCTCACTGACCTGCTGAAAAACTTAAAAAAGCAAAAGGTATCAATTCCGAAGCTAACATAAGCCTCAGCATTTGAAGAGGCACCCTGTGTAGGTTTCCCAATGCCAACAAAACCTCCCGTTGCCTTTACCTCCTCGCTGGGAAGTAGGCTGTCATCCAATTTGAACGCTGTGCCTACACGCCTTCTGACCTGAGGAGGTTTCTCTCCTGTGTTCAGAGGATATTCTTTTGGCACTTTCCCAGTGATTTCCTGCCAAATGGGAGAAAAGCTCATTAGGAACATTAGAACGAATAAGCTGTAATACATTCACACATGTCTTGAAGTTAAGCATGAAAAGAGCCTTACCGCCTCCCGCAGGCAGATCTTTTTCAGCTCCTCGACCTTCTGCAGAAGTTTCTCCTGCAAAAGCTTTTCCTTCTTTCTCAGCTCCAAGATTTTCTCTTTCTTCTGTTCTTCACTGACCTCTAAATCCTGAGAACCTGTAAGAGCAAATCATTCCCTCTATTTCTGATGTTCTGACTTTGAGTGCTGTTTCTTTTGCAACTTAAACAGCATCAATCACCCACAGAAAGGAAAGAGGCATCACCAGGTGTGGTGAAGCTCCAGAAGTTTGCAAAAATAAGCCTTTAAAAAAAAAAGAGAGAAAAGAAAGCTAACAGCTGGGAACTCCCAAAATAGCACAATGGGGTGTGTGGAGAGAATGGAATGCCTACAAATCCTGAAAAATCTTTATAGTGTCATTTTATTGACACTCCCTGCTTGTGATGATAGTAACACTAATTTTCATTCCATTTCTTTCTTTGACCTTAAACCACTGGGAATGATCATGCATCTTCTGTAAGTTTGAAGCTATGTTTTATGAAGTGGATCACAATGGTCTCACAGTGAAATTTAGGGGATTACCTCTATATTCAACTGAGGTACACAGGCATGCACTAATTCTATTTTAATATGCAAAACTTGCACAAATTCAGTGGCTTGAAAAGGAATTCAAGGAAAATACAAAAAAAGGGATATCAGGTATTGCTCAAATTCAACCTATTGGTCCTTCCACTTGTATTAGGATTCCCCTTTCTACTATCTTTTAAATAAGTTCATTGCAAGTAGTATAAGCATCTGTGCCAAACATGGCCAAGATTAGAGGGGCCAGGGGCCAACACCTTAAGATTAGTTGCAGGAAGCACCATTCACTTTCTCAAAAATAGTTTGGGGGCTAAAACAAGTGCAGGGATCAGATACTTACATAATGGAATATGATGGCTCTCAGGTCTATGGAGGGACAAGGTTGCAAAGGGTTGCAACTCTCTCAAATGCAGTAGAAAGAAATGTTTCAGCCTAGAATTCAGTTCAGGGGACATGGTGGCGCTGCGGGTTAAACCACAGAAGCCTCTGTGCCGCAAGGTCAGAGGACCAGCAGTCGTAAGATCGAATCCACGTAACGGAGTGAGCCCCCGTCACTTGTCCCAGCTCCTCAGAACCTAGCAATTCGAAAGCATGCAAATGCAAGTAGATAAATAGGGACCACCTCGGAGGGAAGGTAACAGCATTCCGTGTCTAAGTCGCACTAGCCATGTGACCACGGAAGATTGTCTTCGGACAAAACGCTGGCTCTATGGCTTGGAAACGGGGATGAGCACCGCCCCCTAGAGTCGAACACGACTGGACAAAAATTGTTGAGGGGAATCTTTACCTTTACCTTTATGGGCTTAAAACTCACCTTTAAGCGAAAATCCTCCATACTGCCGCCATTTTCGCTGCCCGGTGAGTGAGGAATCAGCACGAAAAGACAGCGAGCGGCCATTTTGTTTACCCGGCGGCCATTTTGGAACTGCCAATCAGCTGTTAAAAATAATCACTATGCGATAATCGGTAAACGAAACAGTGCACCGATCATCGCAAAGCGATTTTTACCCATTTAAAACATCGCAATGCGATCGCAAAAGCGATTGCAAAATCTTCGTTGCTATGCGGATTCGTCGTTAAACGGGGCGCCCATTAAGCGAGGCACTACTGTATTAGGAACATGACCTCTTACCTGAAGATATTAAGCTACCATTGCTAGCCATAATGAGTTGATTCTTTGTCTCCAAGGCAGCTAGCTTCGAAACCTTTGGTGTTCCCATCTCCGTCAGGTCCATTGCAATATCATCCAAGCTTCTAGCAGTGGGGATTTTTGCCTGTGGCAATTGAAATGTGTGCACAGAATAGTGAACAACTGTTTATCCCCAGGTTACCTCAAACAAAGTATCCAAACAAAGAAACAGCGGAACACTCTGGCCCAAGAACTAAACACTCATCGTTGCACCACTTGCTTATTTCATTGGCACTGATTGCTAAAGTAACTTGACTGTCCATATGAAATTCAAAATGAAAATGGTGTGTGTGTGTGAGCAGAAAGGGCACTGCACATCTTAGACATTTCACATGTATGGCGAATTTCCTTTTCTGCAGCTCTTAAAGGCAGTTAGCATGAAGCAGGTCAAATAACTGCCTCTCTGCTCAAAGATCAAGTAACAGTGGCAAGGACAACCTGTATATAATCAAAGCCCTTCAACAGCCTCACACCAGCCTACCTGGAATGAGTGTGAATAACTTCCAATGACCATAAAGAGAGATGTTTGCAAATCAGATAATAACTTTTTCCCCCTTTAGGACGTCAATGACTAACATATACTCGTATATTTCCTGGAGGGCCTGATTCGTAGGAAAACCCTGTACTCTAAGTAATGACACTCAACATGTCTTGATCAATGAATAACTTACTTTGCTTTGCTTTCTGTCCAGGTAAAACTGGTGTTGACTGATTGCCATAACCCAGATGGATTTGATCAGAGAAGTGTTCGCATACCACGTTTGCACTACGAGGCCACTTTGTCCAAAAGTCCTTCTTGACACTGAAATTCTAAAGAATTTTTTTCTAGGTCATATAAAACTGTTGTTGCTTCTTTAAAAATCTCTGTGTGTACAACAATTAACGCTTCCACATCCTCTTTCAGATTAAATGAAACACAAAATACTCCATGCTGTAGCATCTAAAACAAAACCCCACACACTGGAAAATAATGGGTGATCCTGTTTTTTACTTTTGGAGTGCACCAAGCCTGGCTCTTACCAACATGGTAAACTTGTTTTTGAGCTGTATTAAGTCTGTGAGAGGGATGGGGGAATGATACGACTGAATGTCCATCCATACAAAAAAAAGCTGCTTTATGAAGAAAACCAGAATCTGTGAGAAGCATTTTTGACATTTAGTTTCCTATTTTGTATGCTCGGGCATTAGTACGTACATAACCGTAACAGCCTCTTCTCCAATTGGAGAGGATACAGTCCAAATACTGTACTATCACTTCAGTAATAAGAGATTTCAGTGGCACCCAGAGTTTTTATTTTATTCTGTCATGAGAAGTGAGTCACAAAGGCAAAGCAACTACCATGCAACATATGGTTTTAAAGCTAGAAGTACCTCTTTTTTTGTAACCACAGTGAGTAAGTGAAAAACAGCAGATAAACTAAAACATTACAGTAGAAAAGAAGGCATTGGGTCAAATTCATAAAACCACTTCCAAGTTCGAATGGGAAGTGCTGGAGGATATTTCTTCAAGTAATAGGGAGAAGATGAAAGGAAATGCAATGCTGGGAAAGCTGCCATCAAGAATGCCTTTCTGTATCCATGTCTTCGTTTAAGGGTGGGTGGGGAATGACCCTCCTTCTGGTTCCATGGACAGAAGCAGTTTTGTCAAATAAATGATGTGCCTGGATCCAACCCATTGAGTTCAATGAAATAAATTTGGGCTCTTCATGTTCCAGCAGCATGACAAAAGAAACAGCTTTCTGGACACTTACCTACGAGGATCATGAACCTCAACAGCAAACTTCTTCTCACGGAAATAGAGGTTCTCCAGCTGTTTCCATTGAAATAACTAAGGAAAACAAGACAGGAAATGTAGTTACTAAAAAAAACCCAAAACTTCCTATCCTCACTCTGTCGCATAAGTAATAATTTCTTGCAGTTTTGATCAAAGACAGACAAAAGTTACTGCTGGTACTGTGCAAACAGAACAACACAAAAACCAACCCTCACTCAGACCACAAGCATTTGAAACATTAACACATTATGTACTAAATTTATAATTCTATTATAAACAAATTGTGCTCCTCACTTGGCTTTAAATGTAGATGGTTGTAGCTCCCTCCTCTACTGTCCTAGGCTTGTAACTCAATCAAGATTTCATTTAATATTCATATCTCAGAAATAGTGCAAACATTTATATCCAAACCAAACTTAATATAAGCAAAAAAAAAACAAAAAACAAAAAACAAAAAACAAAAAAAAACACCAAAAAAAAACCTTTTTCTCCATGTGACAACCATACCCTCTCATGCATTTTTATCCAAACCAAACTTAATATAAGAAAAAAAAAACCAGTCCCCTTTCTCCATGTGACAACCATACCCTCTCATAACTATGGGTTAACTGTCATTGACAGAGACCTGACCTGTTTATATTTTGTAATGGAATATCATCCAGCAGGAGAAGCAAATGAACCCGGAGTATGAATTCTTCGTACTTCAAGAGATACTAAGTACGAAATACTGTTCCCTTTGCACTTGTCCGTATAACGTCACTTCATGTCTATCATTCAAAAGATATCGCAGTGGGATGGCTACATTATGTCCTCTTCAGGAGGATGCAGATAAATTCCTTTTACAGAAACCGTACATTTATGAGGGTAAAGACTACTCCAGAACTGCTCTCCCTGGATTGTCTCCTCCTCCCCCCACATGGCTGTGACCATCAAATGCCCCGTGAGAAGGATCCCAGAAGACAGAGGAAAACATCCCTTCATGTAGGTCTCTCTTCCACCTTGACCACCCCACCATTCCCATCCCTTCTACTGCCAGCAGCCCTGTATGTAGGATGTATCCTTACAAGTTGCTGCTTTTAAATACTGTACTGTTTATGATTACTTTCAAACGATTTTTATCTTGAAAGATGGGATGCTGACAGTAGTAAAGAGAGGAAAACCCCCTAAATCTTTGTAGTGAACAGCATAAAATATTAATACTATACACACCCCCATTACAATGGCACCACTCTAGTGTTCATTTACAAATTACAGTTATTTGAAGCTGCAAACCTGTATCTCCCAACCTAGAAAAAAGAACCACCCTATACAGACAAAAGTCTGATTGAGCTCAGTGGGGCTTATGTTTATATAGGTTGGGACTTTTAAACATTATTGCTATAGTTAGTGTTTGTGTTTTTAAAACAACACTGTGGTCATCTGACTTAACCAAGATAATTTCTACAAGCACTTATACTCCATGAAATGTATGGACTTAAACAACAAATAACAATATGTTGGATTGTGAATATTATTTCCCACTTACTTACCCACCCACCCAGCGTTTTTCCTTAAAAAGGACCCAAGGCAGCTTACATGATTAGAAAGACAATATTTAAAAGCTAAAAGCAGTAAGTAAGCAAATATTTTAAAAGAATTAAACAAATATTTTATTTACATGGTAAATAAAACAATATCAAAGATACATTTAAAAGGAACAAAGTACAACAATTCATTTAAAAACAAACAAACCCTTAAATCTGTTTCCTAAACTTCTGGCAGTGTGAGAGGCTACTGGACCTCTTAATGTACTCTATATCATTTTATCATTTTCAGAAGAACATCACCAGTACATCTGATGGGATTTTACCCAAATTAAACCCTTCCAGTGAGAATGATGCACATGTTTCAGAGAACCACCACAGCCAATTCAAGTATGACATCAACAAGGCCCTTGGCACATTGGCTGATATTCTGATACTTTACATAATACGTTGCAATAGAGTAGACTCACTGAATCAGTGGGGATTGGGTTAGTCAACTTATCTGTAAGTTACAATGATTTAAATGGGCCTACTATAGTTGCAACTTACTAAACTTAAAGTAAGTCACAACTAGAGTTGTCCCATTTGAACCAACAGAACTTACAGAAGAGATGACATACCCAATCCCCACTGATTCAATGGGCCTACTGTAATGTGACTTGCTATGCTAAGGAACACGACAGCAGCCATTATGTTAGATTGGGCTTCCTCAACCTCATACTCCCAGATGTAGGAAACTACAAGGCCATCAGCTGGGGATGAAGGTGCTATAGTCTGTAGTCTATTCATTTAGACAGCACCTGGTTGATGCAGGGTATATGATTTTGTTTATTTTATTTATTAAACCTATTTTTACCTCACCTTTCTCCTTAAGAAGGATCCAAGGCTGCTTACATTATTAAAATACAATAAGCAGACAAATACTAAAAAAAAGATCAGATACCACACTAAAAGTCAGGTATACAAAATCAGCCCCCAAAACATCTTCAAAGCAATAAAGCACAACCATCAATTGTAAAAACACCACTCAAGCAGCTAGTCACTCATGGAAAGCTTGCCTCAAGAGAAAGAACTAGACATGCTTGTAGAAGGACACCAAAGAGGGAGCCAGCCTGGCCTCCTGTAGGAGGGAGCTCCAAAGTCTGGGAGCAGCAACAGAGAAGGTCCTCTCCTGTGTCCCACCAAAATCATCAGTGAGGGTAGTGGGATCGAGAGAAAGGTCTCTCCTGATGGTCTTAACACCTGGTCAGGCTCATAAAAGGAGACATGGTCCCTGAGATAGCTTAGACCCAGGTCATTTAGGGCTTTATAAGTTAAAACCAGCACTTAGAATTGTGGCTGGGAACAGATCAGCAACCAGTGGAGCTGCTGTAACAGGGGGTATGTGATCCCTGCAACCAGCCCCAACTTCAGACAAAACGCTCGCTCTATGGCTTGGAAACGGAGATGAGCACCGCACCCTAGAGTCGGACACGACTGGACTAAATGTCAAGGGCAACCCTTTCCTTTACCTAAGGAGATCTGGGCTCAAGTCCCCACCAGGCCCAGAAAATCATTAGGGACCTTGGGACAGACATATTTCTTTCAGTCTGTTCTACCTGGCAGTGTTGTTGTGCAGTAAAATGGGGAGAGCCATGTATAATATGTTGAGCTCACTGTGGGAAATGCAGAACACAAATATAACAAATTACTTAATTAATGAGGATGGTCATATTGTGGCTGTTGCTTCAGTTTTCACAATGAGCAGTACTGATTTTTTTAAAAAATGTCAAATTAAGTTTGAACTTTTGGAACAAATACAGACTTACATTCCATTTTTGTATGCTTGCAGATTTCACAGGCAAGATTTTCCACAAATAAAAGAAGTGTTGGTGTTAAAAATTGAATTTCTTTTGTGGGTGGTGTTGCACGAAGCACATCCTGGCTAGTTTTGCCCCATTTATTAATATATGATGTTTCTAGGCTAGTTCTCTTTGAGATAGCCCAGTGGACCCCTTAGGTCTATACAAAGTAAAAAGGAAATGCATCTTGGGGGGTGCTAGCAGATGTGCAGGTTACCATTACGTTGTCTTTTTGTGTAGCTGTAATAGTAGTGCATGTTTTCTGCAAACAGTCCTCCTCCCGAGGAACCAAAAATGTTTGTAGTTTGGCTTCTGTGAGAGAAGGGACATTTTTCAGTTTGGCTAGAATTAAATCCTGGCAAAAATCCTCTCACACAGGAGATTAGAGGGGTAGGCTGAAGAATGTTTAGCAATCAGAGAAGCTAAATTTTGGAGTGAAATGGTTTCCAAAAGAAGAACAAAAAGCAAATAAGTAGCAAATCAGGAACTTGAGGAAAAGGCAGGTGAAGGCAAGGAATAGGCAGAGGAGACAAAACATTGCCTTGATCTTGAGATTTTAATCAGAGTCTCTTCCAGGTTCTGTTGTTTATTGAGCTAATGCAGGCAGGCAGGCAGGGGATACAGTGTTTTTAGACACAGGATCCTAATTAATGGAATGCCCTGCCCAGAGAAGCCTGCCTAGCATCAACACTGGGAGCTTTTTAGACAATTATCTCTACATTTTTACCTATCTTTGGAATTATATCTATGCATGGTTAGATATCAGAACTAGTTCCTGCCTCTGCTCATTAAATGTAGTCATTGAACAAACAAACAAACAAACAAACAAACAAACAAATAAATAAATAAATAAATAAATAATCTGGTTGCCACATTCTGGACCCACAATCATTGATGCAGCTGAAAGCAATCAAACAGCAACAAGCAGATTTTGGGGATAGCCATATAGGAGACAAAATTCTATTGTGTATTGCAAGAACTGCTTTATGTATTGCAGAGTGGGTGAGCTGCAGTCCTCTGAATCTTGTTATACTGCAACTCCCACTGGATGTGTTAACCAGGACAGTGGGTTGTGCTGTAAGGCCAATAATAGTCATAGCTAGACATAGGAATAAGCCTCAAGTATGGAGACAGGGCCCACAGGTCTGTTAGTCCTGCGGTCCCCAACCTTTTTCGGTCCACAGGCACGCTCGTGCAAACAGTGGCACGGTGCTTGTCTGTGTGTGTGCACGCTCACAGGTGTGCTGGAGCACGCGAGCAGCCGCAAACAGGCTGCATGGGGGTGAGTGTGTGCGGGGGGGCAGGGCGGGAGGTCTGTCTTGGTGGCCCGGTCTGGCTCAGACCACGGACCGGCACCGGGCCGTGGACTGGGGGTTGGCGACCTCTGTCTTAGACAGTGTCCTTCACACCACGAGGAAGTCCAACAGTCCTACCACTCATTGATTTTATCAGAAAAGATGTGAAAGAGGAATCTCTTCCTCAGTTTTATACAACATGTCAATATATTCGGTGTGGTAAGGTTCCCTTCCAATGCTACAGAAAGGAACTCAATGTTTTGACTTTTTTTTGTCTGTGTTTTGTCAAAAGAGGTCATTTTCCTGAAATTTCTTTTGTGGTGTAAAAAACTACAGAGAAGCATAATCTTACTGAGAATTTAAACATCTTGAATGACTATGTATATATGCAGATA